TGGCAATAAAATGACACAATTAGGATAGGATTAGCAAGGTAGAAGCAAAATCTTTATATGTAGATGAAATGATCATCTACAGAGAAAATACTAAGCAGTCTCTAGGACAATGCATTCTTAATGGCCCTAGTACCAAAAAAAAAATACTCTTTACACATTGTGATGTAAAGACAACCGTGAGACTGTTTCAGTTACACAGAGGGCTGGAACTTAAACCTGTACTCTCACTCTAAATCTGCCTATCACAAACACCAGAGCAATACAGAAACACTAAAAAAGATGGAGGTGTGCCCATCTCATACATAGCAGCATAGGGACATAAGAGTGGGAAGAATGCCATCTTCAAAACTATTTTTCCTCTGGCACTGACCTGCCCAGAATTGAAAACTGAGTAAAGAAAAATCTTCAAAAGCATTCTTACATATCTTATAATGGAAATGAAATTAACGTAACTGGAGAACAAAATCTCTGTAAGGAATGTATGTGGCATTACCAGGTTGTACTTAAATTTAAGTTGTGCGCTAAAAAGAAAACCTTGAATTAATTATTTTAGTTTTACAAATGAAAGGGCTAAGTTGTCATTTCATATAAACTTACTCATGGTTTTAATTCCAATTAAATGACTTCAAATAGCTTATTAGAAAGTGACTGTAAACATTTTTGTTTTTTAAAGCACAGTTGGATTCTGGAACGAGTGAAAATGTCTTGAGTTTTCATATAAGATAAATATATTTACCAGTTAATTTAAAATTGGATTGATCTTGTTACACTGTGATGTGGTAGTTTCAAAGTTCTTTTTGGCAACAGATAGTCCCAGGCGACTTCTTTATCTAACACAGATACTGAAACAGTGCCCTGTGTGAAGGAGTGGGCTGGCCAACTACAGGTAGTACCTATTGACTGAAGGCTGTGAGATATGGTCCCTTAGAATACAAAGCAATTGAATACAGTACAATGCGTGCGCTGCTTTGTTTTTCAGCCTAAATGACATCTCCAAGAAGTCATTAACTACCCTGTTTGAAACAAATCTTTGTCTAGAAAAACTATCTGTGTCTCTTCTGTGGGTGACATATATGCAAAAAAAGATCAGGGATCTTGAAGTCATGTGCTGTATGAGGCATGTATTAGGATTATGATGAATATTTGCTCTTTAACTCCAACCTATTTCTTGGTCATAAAATAAAATCTAAACTCTGATTTCATGGCCTAAAATATTCTGTTTTATTTTGAGTTTTGTTTACTTCTCTTAACAACTCAAACAGTATGCTCAGCTGCTTTTTTCACATAGTTTGTTTTGTAACACTTAATGATCACCTACTTAGATCTTCTGCAGTCATAAAATCTAATGTAGCAATCCTCTTTCCTCCCTTTCCCTAGTTACACTATTATATCCAGCTCTGTGAAATAATTCTTGTTATTTATTTGGGCTCTGTGAAATAATTCTTGTTATTTGAATTGTCCTATCAAAGGTCAGCAGGGGCCTCATCTATTTTGTTCACTATTATATTTCAAACTCTTATAATAGTGCCTGGCACTTGGTAAGTATTCAAATACCACTAAATAAGAATAGTACTGGAAAATTAGTAGCACCAATGGAGAAGCAATACCAAATTTAATTTATAGCCAGGATTTTTAGACTGGTTTTTTTATGCCACTAGTCTAGTAGTGGGGAAACCTGAAATCTCTGCTGTACGTAGTTCTAAATTATCCTGAGAAATAGCTAGCTTTAGATTTACCTAGTGGTAATATAAGAAGAGGTGTCCCAGTTTAGAGTTCTCCTGCTATCTGTGGCTTCTTACATACTCCCTGAGGATCTCTTCTTTAAAATACTTGGGACTAGTGTCATCCTGTCCCTACTAAAACACTTAAAATAAAGGGAATTTAACGACATTGTGAATCAGGCTGTCCTTTTGATGCTCAGCTCAAATAGATGCTTTTCTAGAACTCATCCATTTTTTTTAACCTGACACACCCAACAGGGAATATGTGCTGTATTTTCATGTCTTTAGGCTGTGCTTGCAAGTTTCCTTTTTCTCTTTCCTGATGTTCATCAGTGCGAACTTTCAAACTCCTTGCCACTTTGGACAAAACTTCAGATGTCCATATTTTTAATGTGGTACCCAGTTCTGGAAATAACTAATGATGGGTTTGCTCACATTTCTCACATGTGACTATTACTATAATGCAGTTTAAAATTTCATTATTACTACCCTGCCAAAAAAAAAATAATAGAGTGGCTCTTAACAGTGTCCAGAGCTCACAAGGAAACCCCCATCTTTTTTCACATAAGCACACACTTTTTCTTTAAACTCTTTTTAGGCAATGGTATATGTATGTGAACTGCTTATTTACATTCTAATAAAAAGAGAGAAACTGTGGGTACAAAAAGTAGTAATACAAAGTGAGAAAAACTAGAGATATACAATACCATGACCTGAGGGTGTGTTTGAAGAATGCTTTAGCTGAATGAGAACAGTGTGTGAAGAACAATGGGAGAGTAAAGTGAGACTTAAGTTCTGGAAAATCTGAAAGCATATAGAGTATACACTAGATGGTCAATGAGCAGATATGGAAGACATCTGTATATTGGGGAGATATATAATGTGATCAGAACTGTGCTTCTGGAAGAAAACATAAATCAACACAATAAAGTATACTCTGTGAGTATAGAAAACTAGTTGACACAACTGGAATATGATTTGGAAATGAACACCTGAAATATTTCACAAACAGACATAGGCCTAAAGGATAAGAAAAGAGCTGATTTATAAAATCTATAAAGGCTTGACTGGTTCTTTCTCAATTAAAACCACCAGTAATTTGTTTCCTTGTTCTTTCTAGGACACAGACACTTAGTGAACCTTGCCATGCAAAGAGATACTTCTTGTTTCTGGGTCCATAACTCTCAGCTCCCCTCCCAGCCAAGATGTCCTCATCTGTAATTGTCCCTACTGAAGCCGCATGAGTTCTCTCAGGCTTTTTTTTCCTTTCTGGAATAGGGTTATATAATTAAAACAACATCATAGTAAGATTCCTTGTTACTTGCCACAGATTTCACTGACCCCAGAAATGTCCATTATTTAAAAAAAAAAATCCTTAAGTATGTGCTGAGATGCTGATAATGCCACGTGTATATTTGTTCTATATTACACATGACCTGCCCTAAGCACTGACAATTCTATTTTGAGTTTGCCCAGTTCTCAGATACTGGTAGGACTGATTCAATTCAGAATCACTACACTAGCAGGCCATCAGGAAAACAGGGGTTAGTTAAAAATATCCTATGAATGACTCACATATGACTTACTCATTAATAATCAGATCAGGAGCAAAACACAGCACATTTCCACTTGATTGTCTGTATGATCTCCACCCCAGGGCAAATGCCATGAGAAACATCCATGAGTACTGCAGAAGGGTCATTTGGTCGTCTAGGTGTAAGTTCCTGAATCCTGAATTGAGAGAAATAAAGGTATGATACAACTCACTAGTTGCCAAAGAGATCATCCCTCTGTGAACTGCCAATGAGCCGTTAAATCAATTAGCTTGGTGTGGGGTTTATTTTCTTTTGTCATCTGACACATTAAGACCCGGACCCTCAGAACTTTTTAATGGCATTCTATATAAGAAAAGAGGAGCCAGTTTTGTCACCTTTTAACTATTTAACTAAAAAATGAACTAAACAGTAAAGAGAAAACCAAGAGTCCTGGCTTCAAATTGTACTCATCCAATGAACTTCTGAAAAAAGTTTCCCTAGGGCAGGGGATTTTAGCTCAGTGGTTTCACCGCCTGCTGCGCAAGCGCAAGGACCTGAGTTTGATCCCTGGTACCAAAAAAAAAAAAAGTTTCCCTGACGTTCACACTTTTCTCCTTGATAGGACAAGGCCAAGAGGTTACTCATTCTTGTTCTGCCTCTAGTTGTGTAACCGTAAGCTTGTCAATTTCCCTCTTCTCTGTAAAGTCAGAACTGTTGCCTTTTGGTGTTCCACGGGGAAACTTTTGTTTAAAATTATCTTAAAAATTTTACACTCATTCACTACATTTTAACAAGTCAACACTCTTGATATTTAACAATTTTACAAACAACCTAAAGGAAAATAAGTGGAGTTCTTAAAAATGTTACACATTTTATTCTCCTAGATGTCAGCTGGTTCTAACATTACATCATCCCATATAAAATTACTGTTATGGGTAATGATCTGAAGAGTAGGGAGCGGTGTAAAAGTTTTATTGTAGACTTTCTCCTTGCCTATTTTCACCTGATTTTCTGCTTCTCAATCCCAAGAAGTGAGAATGAAGAACAAGATGTTCCGTGAGATGAGGATGATAGAGCCAGCCATTTTTTTCCCCCCAAAATCAGTTTTATAATGTAGTTCTGTCATTCCTTTGCATCTTACCTGGTATTGCCTTTGCCCATTTCACTGCTGCAATCACTTGGCGTCCACCTAACATGTTGAGTGTGGTCATGATCCTCCAGGTTGTGTCTGGAACAGTGCCGTCATATCCTGCATATAACACCTCAGGTTCAATGACTTCCAAGAGTGACACCAGCGTAGGGGTGAGTTGTGGTAATGTTGCAGGAACTATTGTTTTGTTAGGATTTTCAGAAGTGTCTTGTGAGACTCCTGTAGTGGCTTGCTGAATTCCTTTAATTTTTTTCTTTGTTTTTCGAGCTGTAGGTATTAAAAATATACATAAAAATGAATTATAATGGGATGGAATAGGCTGCGAAGTTTATTTAAGAGGCATTTTAAACTTCTGAAACTATTAAGACTAAAAGAAAAATATTTTATTTAACAATTACGATAAAGTGACATGAAGAGTAGAAATTTTGTTTTCTTCTGAAAACAAAGGTTTTTTTCCCCTGTATGTAAGCCAGTGACTAACTTCAGTCATATAAAGTTGTCTTACAACACTATTAAAATAGTACAAGGCAAATCACTTTTGTAAATTCTTCTGTAAATTAATTTGTGTCATTTTGACTTTAAATGTGAAGATTTCATGTGTGCTGTATAAGGCAAATGACTATCAACTGAAAGAATCTAAGTTTGTAAAGATCAAAAGTTGTAGTTTAGGATTAATTTAAATTATGGTAGTATATATAATAAGGGGAACTACACTATTTGTACAAAGACTCTTATTAAGATAGGGAGATGACAGATCATATGCTAAAAATTGCATTAGTTGTAACAGTAGAAAAATCTGCTGTGTACATGATAGATACTAATTAGGACTAAAACAGTTGGGGAAATTAACGTAAGTTATCAATGCAAAATTTCCCTTTTATATGGAAAATTTATAATGATACTATAAACCTGAAGTATCCTTTTTCATACTTTAGGTAAATAAAGTTATATCTCTGACCTTGTATGAAACCCTCTAATCAAATTACAGCATGGATTCCCTGCATTTTTTAGTAAACTTATTCATTCTCCTGAAGTTATTTTGACTGAATAAGAATTATAATATTCTCTTAAAGAGAAAGTACTGAACATTCCAAAGAAGGGCAAGGAATGTAATTTTTATGGAAGAAGAAATGTACCTGCCTCAGTTGTCAGCATGCAAACCATTTTACAAAGGGAAAAGTAAATGCAAATTAAAATAATTATTAGACATTCTATACTTATATAGTTTGTGGAAGATGGATATGGTGGTTAAGAAAAATGCCTGTCATTCATATAAAGACTGTTCTGGCCTGGGGATTTAGCTCAGTGGTGCCATCGCCTGCCTCGCAAGTCCAAAGTCTTGAGTTCGATCCCCAGTACCCTCCCCCACAAAAAAGACTGTTCTGTGGGCATTGAGAAAATTAGTTAACATTTCAAAACAGAGAAACAGGATCATGTGACATGACTACTCTAATTTAGTTGCCACACTTTCTTAAAAGCATGGTATGATAAAATAGTAAAGAGCACCAATCTGAAATCAGGATATTGGACTTAAATCCTGACTCTGCCATTTTATAGCTAGGTTCTGTACAGGTTATTCCCCATGCCTTAATTGTAAGATGAGAATAATATTAATCCCTAACTTACAGGGTTGCTTTTAGAATTAGAACAGTGCCTAGTATACAGTAAGTACTACATAAGTCCTTATCATTACCCCAACTTATTTGAAAATATATTTTAAGAATACAGTAATTTCATTGAATATAGCTCTACAGTGATAAAACTTTAAAAAGGAAGAGTATGTCACAGTAGCCCAGATATAAAACCATGAAGTGTAACTTGATTTGAGAATATGCCTGTACCCAATTAATACACTGAAATGGTACTGCAAAACCTCAATCTTAGCCATGACTTCAAATGAGCTGGGATGCATGTTTCTATACTTAACATCAAAACAAAGGTTAAAGAATAGTAACTTGGAGGATTAAAAAAAAAATCATTTTCTGTTAATCACTATATAATTTCTGACTACCTACAGTCCTAAGTGAGAACCAGTGTTTTATATTCCAGTTGACCATTTATACCAAAAATAACAGCCTACTTTGGAATGATTATCATGCACCTTAAAGTGAAATGTGCAGCTAGGTGTGTTGTATACACCTGATTCTGGCTCTCAGGGAGGCTGAGGCAGGGGGACTGGCAAGTTTAAGTCCCACCTGGGGAACTTAGTGAGACCTTATCTCACAGAGCTTAGTGGCAGAGTGTCCATGGGTTAAAACAAAGAAATGAGTGTAAGACATTTAGGATCATCATTTAAAAACATCTATATTTAAATACTAGGGACTTTACATAGTGAAGAAGGCTAATAGTTAAATCTTGAGATTTACTTGTTCTGGGGTAACAGTATCAAAACACACCAATTTCAGAAGTACTGACATATTTATGGAGAGAATTGGGTGCTAAGTGAGCCAACTGCTTCTGCAGTTATTCTGGGGCTGTCATCAAAACTGTTCGGCTGGGGGAAGCACTCTAATGAACAAGAGACTATTTCTAAAGATTAAAAAAAAAGTGTGAAATACATGGCTCATCTATTTTGTTCTTAAATATTATGGTCTGCCAGACATTTCTGGCATACACACATACCTACTCCAAATAAAAGTTTTATATGTATTGGGATGGATTCAAAACAAAAATGAGGCTTTCACAATAAAACCACACATAACACACACTCTATTAACTTACATTTTTAAGCCTTTCTTTCAGTTCATCTACAAATCGAACCAGATTATCGCCATATGTGACACCTGATGTCTAGTATGTTGTACTATGTATATAAATGGATATAAAAGTTAATCTTAAACCTACTGTAAGGTGTTTTTACTATGATGGTCCAAAACAACCTTTGAGGTGAACATACTTGAAAAATTAGCATGTAATGACTCTTAATAAATGCTAATTTCTTCAATTCTGATCTTTTATATTGACCACTTATAAAAGCATACACTTGTTGGTTGTCTTTTGATGAGATAAAGGCAAAGGAAATGGGAGTTGTTATTCAGTGTTTTTAAGAGAGGAGAAATGTAGTACTTTGCTCTATCAGGATCATTAGTTGCTATATCTTATTTCTCCTGAATAAAGAATTACTTTATACCACTGATGATGAACCTTTTAGAGCTTTCAATGATACAGGCAGCTTGCTGTAACACCTGTGCTGTAGGTTCGTCACCGATGCCTTATATTCTGGGTAGAGGAGACATTACCCAGAGAAGCATTCTATGCTTAAAGCTCCAGTCTTAAACTTGGCATGTATTTGGGAAAGCTCTTAAAAATGTTACTGGGGGGGGGGGTTGCAATCATACTATGTTAATGATACCAAAGAACTTTATCTGGGTTTATTCTTTGAGCTTTATTCACAACTTATTTCTCAGTGTAAAATAGCTGAGATGAAAACATAAAGATTAAAGTAGTAAAATTGGGGCTGGATTAAGTAAACCAACCTATTTAAATGGTCAAAATACATTGTATAGGAGATTAGAGAGCAGCAAAATGGAACTGGGTAAAATCTGGACAAAGATTTGATATATATATGAAAGCAAGAAATAACATTTTTATAAAACTACCTTATGGTACGCAAAGTGAACTTCTGCCTGAATTTTACTCTTTGTAGCTTTTGTAACACAAGAAAATGGGTAGCAATTATTATAAAGAATGTTTAATTTAAACATGTTAGCACTCTGCAGTCAAGTAATCTGGTCCTACTTGAAGCTGTATGTGTAGTCACACACACATTGTGTGCTAGGCAGCACCAACAGTCTCCTATCAAGAGAACAATATGCATTCTATTCTTTTTTGTATCTGGATTATTAAAAATACAAATCTGATCCTGTTTTTTACATTATTTTTTGTCTGATTCCTACTTAGCTTCTAGATTTAAAATTCAATGTTATTTCTTCCAAGATGCTTTCTCTGACTTCTAGGACAGAATTAGGTGGACCTTCCCACTTGTTTCTACAGCATTATTCTGCCTGTGGTATGTCATGCTATTTTGTGATTTAACTTTACAACCTAAATAGCAAACTCCTTAATTTTAATCATTTTATGTCTAGTAACTGTCTTGTTGGTGAATACTTGCTGAATGAAACCATTACTATCACAACAAATACTAAACACATGAGTTACTATATTACTGTATTCATATAACTTGCCATTTCAACCACAGCAGAATTCCAGCCTTTTTTCAGAGCAGAGTTTTTGATGATGAGATCAGTGTTTAATTATACAACTAGTTATATAAACAGGGATATGAAACTCTAACATAACTACTTTCAGGTTTCTTGAAAAACAAAACCCATAGAGTGCTTTCTTGAGCTTTTTTCCTGGCATAGCTGTAATTTTAAAGACATACAGCGAACCCCTGACTTACAAAGTCAATTCATTTGTCAGGCTGTAACTAAAATTCATCATTTGAAGGCTCAGGCTCCTATGCACAGGCAGATGTCAGTGTCCTTAGAAAGACATTGGCCCAGCATTTTTTCAGTTAACCCCACACAGGAAAGGATGTTGTAATGTTCCTTCCAGAACTCTTTAAGGGTTAAACCTGTACCTGAGACCATCTGGAAGCGCAAGTGGCAGGCATTCTGGTTGTAACTCAAGGGTCCACTGTACATACTTCCAAGTAAAAGGTGTTTTTCAAAGGTAAAAGAAAAATGAACATGTAAATATACCTAATATAGAAATATTTCCAACCTTAGGGAACAGTTTTGAGAATTTAAAAAGGAGTAAGATAAAAGTAAAGTTGCTTCAAATTGTGTTTTATTATTACATAATTTCCTTTCTTAGTGTATAGTCTGCCTGTGCTGAATTCAGTGTTTGTAACAAGAACCAGTGAATAAACTTAATGAGAAAGTCCTATTTTATTGGGCATTAATACAAAATTATGCTAGTCAAACACAAAAAGTAAAATGATCAATTTTTATATGACAGAGATGAACAATTCCTATCAATTTATTTGCATTACCTTCCAGGTTCATTCCAGCTTGAAGACATTTTCGATAGCGACAGGCTGGGCAGTTTTTTCTCCGAATTTTATCAATGATGCAATCATTTCTTCCAGCACAAAGATAATTGTGCTGTCCTAAATGGAATAAAAGACACTTAAAGGATTTTTTAAAATGTAGAGCTTCTTTATGCTTTTGTTTTGGGTAGGACATGACTGAGACCCAAAGGCACTGATTACAAAAAGTAACAGTGTACTTTGCTAAATAGACATTAATTCCAAAGTTGAGAGATCAACTACTGAAATATACTTTAGTGAACATACATAAAAATACTCAATTAAGTATAATACTTATAAATTTTCACAAAGCAACTGAGCACCTCTATATTACCTCTCAGATTCAGAAACAGAATTGCACCCCATAAACCCTTTTTATTCCTGAGTCTACTCACTATTCACTGAAAGTAATCTATTTATTATGACTTCTGGCCTGATGCTAGTGAGACTAAAGAAAGAAGAAACTGTTTTTAAAATACCCAAAAGGAAATGGCTTTAATTCAAAATTATGCCACCATATGCGAATAAAATGTGCCTCTTATCCCAAATGTAAAGGGAGTGAGTGACAGCAATATTCTTCACTATTAGAGTTGTTAGCAACTGATTCGGTAAGTTATAAATAGAATTATCAAACTAAACTACCAGAGATAGATCTTAGATCATTATTTCACATGCTGTTAGAATATAACAATATTTGACTCACCTTTGACCTCAAATATTAGGACTGTTACTATCTAAATCTTTTAGTACATAGTGTTCGCTCATGTGTTAAGAAGAAATGTAATTCTCTTAAAAGGAAAAGACTAAAAGTTTCCTCACTCCCAAATGTACATTCTTATAGTCTTCTTCTTTTTTTCTTTTTTTGGTACTGGGGATCGAACTCGGGTCCTTGCACTTGCGCAGCAGGCGGTGAAACCACTGAGCTAAATCCCCAGACCTCTTATAGTCTTCTTTTAGTCTGGTTACTGAATGTTGAAGAAAACTAAGAGAGGATCTCCTACACAAGAAATTAATATAAAGGAGAGATTTAAGCACAAAGGTCATGTGGCCTGCCATGGTGGTGTATTTGGGAGATACGATTTGTGTGTGCTAATATTAATCTTGCCTTTCTTCCCCCAAGTGTATTATATGTGGCCAGAGTGATAAACAGCTAATCCTTATAGGCATTAGAATTTATAGCTTTGTTTTTGGTACCAGGGATCGAATTTGGGACCTTGCGCTTACAAAGCAGGCACGCCAGAACCACTGAGCTAAATCCCTGTCCTATAGCCCTGTTTTAAAGAACATGTAAAAAATATTTTTTTTTATGTTCATAATTTTTAAGGCTCTACTGCCTTTGAATTTCACTTTCAAAAAGCAGTTTGTCAAATTTCTTATACACAACAGTATTGTATTTATTTTCACATTATGGAAATACTTGAGCAGTTAATAAAGTGCTGAACAAAGTAAGGATGAGACTTCCCTTTTTTGGGTATGTCGTAGGGAAATTGCACTAAGTGCAGATGGTCTTTACTTAGGGAGCTAATACAAAACTTGCATCCCATGGGCCGGGGATTTAGCTCAGTGGTCCTGAGTTCAATCCCCGGTACCAAAAAAAAAAAAAGAGAGAAAACAAAACTTGCATCCCTGTCATCTAGGTGGGGTAGCATGAGTAATTTTATACTTTGCTAATGTATTAAAAAGTAATCCAAACAAAATGATTCCTCTAACTCTCAAAGATATGTAAACATAACTCTAGACAAATAATCCGTATACAGTGGATGAATAATTATGTTTCTTTAAAAATTAATATAATCAGAGCTTCAGGTGATGAATTCAGGCCAAACACCTTCAAACTGCTTTACAAAGAACTAAATTACTTTTGTCCAAAAGGATTCACTGGTAAAATTAATTAGAGTCCTTTCCAATAATACTCTGTCATGGATTGAATAACTGTTAGGGAGATACTGCTCTTGCCTCTGTCAGCAGTCTAATGTAAACTTTAGTCTGGTTAGGGATTTAATGAAACATTGCATAGTTAAAATCATTTTCTTTAAAATACCTTCTTTCCTGACTTCAAGCAGAATTTATCACTTCCTCCTCTATTATAATCTCTATACTTGTAATTGTTAACTCATCTTTCATTTTGGTGGACTGTGACCTCTGACAGGGCAGGGGTCAAGTCTAATGGTATTTATAACACCTAGTGTGGTGCCCTGGCTTAATATGATAAAGAAGGCAGGGTGAGCTGAAAGGAATGTCTTTTCTCCTCACCGTTTCCACTCATAATTGGTCTAAGTTTGGTATACTGGCTATACCAACTGGTATAGTTTGTGGTCTGAAATCAACTAAAACTTATGGGGATTCAAATTCCATGATTCTAATCCAGTGAGTATTATGTTACTGCCCAAATTTAACAACATTCATTTCACATAATAGCACTGTCTTATACTGTTATCTTCAGTTCTCTAACCAAACTCCCTCCTATCAATTTATAATTTTTTTTTGTACCTGGAATCGAACCTGGGTCCTTGCACTTGCATAGCAGGCGGCGAAACTACTGAGCTAAATCCCTGGCCCTATAATTTTTTAATTTTAGCTCTGCTTGTGTTTTTAAAAATACCTCATTCCTACTGAAGAATTAGGAGCCACATTCCTTCCCCTTTACTGATTTTCTAACCTTAGTGGGCTTTGCATATAAATAGAAATTTCACAATCCATGGTGAAAAATGGGAATCAAATAGAGAAAAAAATAGAACTCTTCAAAACACACACTACCTTCCACTGCTCTTTTGAAGAATACTTTACAGCTTCCACATGTCAAGACCCCATAATGACATCCCGAGGCTTCATCAGAGCACACCAGGCAGAGTTTGGGAGGTGGTCCTGTTGTTGAGGAACTAGATGGAGGAGAGCTTACATCTGGCCTCATTCCAGGGCTAGAGGAGGAAAAACAGGGTTGTAATTTAACTGTCAGGCTTCTAATAGCAATGTCAGAATTCATTTCTTTTAAGCTTCTCACTCCATCTCAGCTATCACAGCAAAAAAATTTATCATCTTAGAAACTGGTCCTATATCTCTCATTCCCAGTGTCATACTAGCTGAAACCATAGTTTCTTAAGGCTTAAAAAGACTAATCCAGAAATAATTACTTTTATAACCTGTCTTTCAGTTAATACTAGAAAAAGCACCAGGATTTCAACATTGAGGACCATTCTGCCTTCCTCTCTCAACAAAAACACCCCTAAGAAAAAGATGAAAAATATGAATCTGCTTCTCTTACCAGGTCTCATTTTTCATTTTGCAGTTCATTTTGTGACCCTCCTGCTTCAGCGTCTTTTTCCCCTCAACACAAGAAATGCAGGTCTGGTGTTTATTAGTGTTTAAAGAGCATGTAATTGTTCTTTCATTTTTAATGGAAACAAGTCTTTATTAAGTAATTTTTAATAACTGAAAAATAAAACTCTTTAGCAAATGTATAATATCAGTGCTTTGGTCATCTTAAGTTAAATGTTTTTCTTAAAACATACGGTTTTAAACTCTAAATTTATAATCTATGACTTCCCTACATATACATGATAAAAGAGTGTAGTAAAATCTGGTAATACTAAACTATGTTGGTTATTTTCATTCTCAGTTTGTGATTTTTAGAAACAGTACACACACCTAATAGATGTTGATTGTGAAAGGTATATAATTTTTCTTTAAGATTTTGAACCTCAGAAAAGCTGAAAGAAGTACAATACATATATATTGTTTACCTATAATTACCAAATCTTAACATTTTGCCACGCTTATTTATAAAATAGTAAGACAATAATCCTTTTAATGCTGCAGGAGAAATTACAGTGGCTTCCAACATATTTTCCTAAAGGTTTTTATCTTACATGTCAATTTTAGAAGCAAAACTGTATCATGCAGCTAAAAAGAATTTCTAACCTGCTTGTAGTTAGAAACTGCCCATTCTTTATCTGGGTGTATGTTCTCAAGCAGACTTCCAAAAACATGGATGGTGACAACTTGTTGAGTTTAGAACTCTATGTAAAGTGTGTCATTTATTATTTATATATCTAAAATGTCCCCCAAAACCTCATGCACACATAGGTGGGGCTTTGGGGAAGATGACTGGATCATGGATATGTAATACTCATCACTGGATTAGTCCACTGATGGGTTTGTAGCTGGATGTGATGCTGGGAGATGAACCTTGGTGGGATGAGGTCAATCAGTGTATGGATGTAGCCTGGAAGGCTCTATATTAGATATGTTACCTAACTGATATCTCTACTTTTTTGAGTGTCTTCACTTGCATTGTTGTGGCTGCCTTGATATTCCTGAATTAATTCAAAATGTTTTCTTTTCATGGTCATTTTAATTTGGGGGGGAAGAGCCAGAAGTTGCCTGGTGCCAGATCTAATGAATGAGGTAGATGAGGACATACTGTAATGTTTTTACCAGCCTCACTTTCCACTGGATGGCAGCGGCATTCACCGTATATTTGATCATATTTCATAAGAAACCCATAAAAGAGACTTCCAGAACTGTTTGAGAAAGTGGCAAGAATGGTGGGATAAGTGTGCGAAGCTAAAGGAGTAGTATGAAGGGGATTAATGGCAGTGTGTCTTTGACTGCAATAAGTTAAAAAACCATGTACATCTTTTTGTTCTGTTTAGGAATAAAAATTGAAAGGTAATAATTATAGTTATTTAAGTCAGTAAACCCAAAAGTCCATAAATCCTGTCCTCAAATTAACTTCTTACACCTTGCCAACTGTCTGCTTACCCAATAGGACAACATTCCCACCACCTCAATTCTGGGAGTAGGCACCAGGGTTTCTTTCACATTGTTCTCTGAATACTCTTAAGAGTGTTTGCATGCTTCTGTACCATGAGGCATTGATTCCTTGCAAGATTTGGGTGAGCGGGCTGACTATATATTGAAAGCTTGTAATAGAAGAGAATAACCTGAAATGACTGCTGTAGATATAGCACAAGCCACCCTAGAGTAATGGGTGACTAATGGAGCTGCTGAGGGGGGCCATAGTTTTATAGAGACATAGGAATGTCTTGGAGTGAGTGAAGGGAGCTGCAGCAATGTGTTGGGGAAGCAAAAACTTCCCTGGCTTCTGTTCTGAAGGTACCCCTATTCTTGCTCACGCAGTCTCTGTCACCTGACTTCTATTTTTAGGAACCAACCAGTTGCTTGTATATTTAGTTTACGGAAAGTGAGACCATTGTTTAAAGATTTAAAAGGTTAACTCTAATATTTCCTCAACCAATGTATACTGTATACACACATGCATGTATAGTTTTACCACCACCTCTAGACGAGGTTATGCAGGTAGTGACAGGTAGTTGATTAGGGAATCCATTTGTGATTAAACTGACACATTTCAGACTCCTCTGTACCACTCAATAGCTTGTGACCTTAGGTTAGTTATCTACTACTTTGAACCTTAGTTTTCTCATCAGTAAACTGAGGAGGATATTACTCATGTCTTGCTTTGTGAAAACAGTCTAGTACATTGTTCCAACACTTAGCACACAGCTGATAGGTGTTCATTCTTTTTTCTTTCAGGGAAACTAAATATTTTGAGTAAGCTGTATGTAAGGGGAAGGCATATATTATTAAGTCTAAATCCTAGGACAGTGTACCCTCCCTAAATTATCACACATGCAAAATATATTCAGGCTACTTAACTGGGAGATACACATGTCAACAAGGAAAGTTAAAATGACATGAACAAGTAGATTAAAAAAAAAAAGAGCACCTAAGAATCTGGAGCCTAATCAGGCTTTTGGCTTCCCTGCAGGCAGTTATTCTGGGCTGTATCTGGTAAGAATTGAGAGCATGGAAAGCTGCCAGGTATACCATAGACATCAATGGGGAAATTTTTTTTTTCAAAAAAATATGAGGACTGCGATAGCCTGTATTGAGTGCTATTGAAAAAAATGGATGAATACAAAATGGTCTTCAGCTACACATGGTATTTGCTATGATATGGCTAAAAAGGGTTGTTATGGTTTGTGTTTAGATGTCCCCCTAAAGCCTCATTCAGCATAGGTGGGGCTTTTCAGAGGTGACTGGATCTGGAGTGTGTGATGCTAGGATTAAGAGTATGAGTACTACCTGCCCTAAGGGTGGGCAGCCTGGGTAAGATATGAGACAGAGGGTTGTCACTTGTCACTTGCTGCTTGGATGCTTATGCTGCCTTCTGTCTGCTACAAACTGTTTTTCCTCTGTAATGCCCCTCTGCCATGCCAGTCTGCCTTGAAGCCAGCCAATTATGGACTGAAACCTCTCAAACTGAGCTGAAATAAACTTTTCCTCCCTTAACTTTGAGGGTTGGGTATTTTGTCTCAGCAACGAGAAAAAGCAACTAAGACAGGAGTAAAGTACAATAAAAAATGGCTAAAACTCAAAGGAAAAGCATACAGAATTACCATCTTTTAATATAAAGCCATATAGACAAAAGAAATTAAAGACACACCCCAGAACAGTGTATATTTTGCCCTCTTTGAGTGGGAAAGCTATAATGTTCTGGTATTAAGGGCATTACCATCTACAGAAGACGCTGAGAGGTTCCATTTTGAACTATTTTTTTGTTGCTGTTGTTCTCATTAGGTTTTTATTTTGCATACCTTTCCAGGTCTCAGGTAATATTTACATAGTTGAATCTGGCTTCATATTCCTTTTAGTTTTTTTTTTAGTATTTATTTATTTTTAAAATTAATTTTATTGGTACACTTTAGGTATACAATTCGTTTACATTTATCACTGGGTGTTTGTACCTGTACAGGATATATCTTGGTTATTTTTTTCCCCATTATCTGTGTACCCTTCACCCCCTCCACCCTTCCCTATTTACATAGATTTCATTTCCATTTTTTTTCTCATAATTTTTCCTTTCCCTCTTTTCCTTTCCTCTTCCCCTCCCCCTTCACTCCTTCATCTTTGGACCTTTTTTCCTATTTCAAATTATCAATTATTCATTTTAATCATTTTAACCCTTGTTTACACTATCAGTTTCTCACACTAGTGAAACTAATGGGTATTTACACATGTGTGTCCTATTTATTTCACTTAAAGAGTATGGCCTCGATATGCATCCATTTAGCTATAAATGACTCTAGTTTTTCATTCTTTATGGCTGAGTAGTATTCCATTTTACAAAAAAACCCACATTTTCTTTATCCAGTTTCCAGTTGATGGGCACTTGGGCTGCTTTCAAGCTTTAGCTATTACAAACGGCCCAGTTTGTAATGAACTATTTTTAAAGTGCTTTAAGTGAAAAGCCAAGAACAAAAATACCTTGTTCAAATGAGTCTGTGAAGAATGTTGGTTTCTAGTCACAATGCTAAGTGTGCAAGACATTGAGTCCTCTCTCAGGTTACAGAGACAGACACATGAGTTGGGAGGGGCAGAAATGCACATAGCTGTTTTTTTCTATGTACTTTTCTTGCAAGAAAAGTAACTGATGAAAGGATGATCAAGGATGAAATGTTCGTGGATGTATTATTAATCACAGACCTTAAGAAGAATGAAATGTGTAGGTAAATTACACCTATTTATTCAGCAGACACTTCCTGGCACCTTAGTGTCAGGCACTGTGAGGTTACTGAGGCCTTATTATGTATGAAAAGCATGAAATAATAATGGACTTTGAAACTTTTGTCTAATACGGACAGTAGAACTGCAGTATATGTTTTAGCCACCCTTTATGCCACAGTATTACTAGAGGGTAGTCAGTCTTACAGAGAGACAATCTGGGTTCAAATCCCAGCTTCATTGCTGTTACAGTTGTAGGACCATTTAGATAGCTGGTTTTAATTTCTTTGTGTGCTCCTGGATTTTTGTATGGATTATATAATCATACTTGGGGTTTGTCAAACAAGTCTCTAATCTACTCTTAGGGATCATCTCTTTTTTTTCCCCTCCT